AAAAATTAGCCGGATGTTGTGGTGGGTGCCTGTAATCCCAGCTACTTGGGAGGCTGAGGCACAAGAACTGCTTGAACCCAGGAGGCAGAGGTTACAGTGAGCCGAGATTTCACCATTGCACTCCAGCCTGGGCAATAAGAGTGAAACTCCCATTTTAAATAAAAAACAGAGGGGAAATTAGGAAGGTGTAGATTGAGATGTGAAGAAAAATATGGCAAAATTGGAGCTGAGTGTCCAAAGAGATTATGTGAAGGGTAGAGGGTGTATATGGGACTAGTTGATGGAAACTTTTTAGCTTCAAAACATTCACTGTTACTTTGTCTTAAATACTCCTCTGGTTTTGTTGTTCTGAGAAGCAGGAATGTTTTAGATCTAGTAAACAAAATTTGTCTACGTATTTTTTTCTGTGAATATTAGTCTTCTGCATCTATAAATGGAAGCGGAAAGTAAACTATTTCTAGCTTCTGTGGGACCCACTCATCCTTGAACAGCCTAATGATACTTGGTTATATCTTTAAAGCTGCAGAATCAACTGGAAAATCACAGCACTGTCCTGGGAGATATTTACAAGTCAGTCATATTGTTGCACTTTATTTGCAGAGACAGCAGTATGCGTTTATGTAAAAGCAGTTTCATTCTTTTGGTTCCAGCTCAAACACTAGAATCAGTTTGAAAATGCTGTTCCACAGGAAATGCAGGATGTGACCTTGTAGAAGCAATGTGACAGGCAAATAGGGTCACCTGAAGAGCATTCAGTAATGGTCTGGGTTCTCTTTGGTCGGAATTATGATAACTTCAAAGACCAGACTGAAAGTACTTGGTGCAGAAAAGCTTTTAGCATAACTCGCCTCAAGGAATGAGCCTTGATTGGTGAAGAAAATGGGGTCATCAGTAAATTCCATCAGATCTTACACTGACATTGATAACCCTGGAAAAATTCCGGAGGCATGGACACACACCAGCAAAACGCTGGTCACCCTCGCAAGCAGCTACATCTAGTTGCCAACTTTTTTATCTTTTTGGTTTGAAGCATGTGGATAATTATCTGGCTACCCTTTCCCTCTGCAGCCATAGCATTTCAATGGATGACACATGCCTGGTGTGTCCAAAAAACCACAAGAAATTCAGTATTATTGATGACAGCAGTCCCCAACCTTTTTGGCACCAGGGACCCATTTCATAGAAGACAATTTTTCGACAGACAGGGAAGTAGGGGGTGGTTTCTGGATGAAACTGTTCCATCTCAGGTCATCAGGCATTAGATTCTCATAAGGAGTGCAAAACCCAGATCCCTCACATACGCAGTTCACAATAGGTTCGTGCTCTTAGGGGAGTCTAATGCCGGGGCTGTTCTGACAGGAGGCGGAGCTCAGGCAGTGATGAGAGTGACGGGGACGGCTATAAATACACATGAAGCTGGCCGGGCGCGGTGGCTCGCACCTGTAATCCCAGCACTTTGGGAGGCCGAGGCAGGAGGATCACGAGGTCAGCAGATCGAGACTATCCTGGCCAACATAGTGAAACCCCGTCTCTGCTAAAAATACAAAACATTAGTCAGCGTGGTGGCGGGCGCCTGTAGTCCCAGCTACTCGGGAGGCTGAGGCAGGAGAATGGCGTGAACCCGGGAGGCAGAGCCTGCAGTGAGCCGAGATCGCGCCACTGCACTCCAGCCTG